TTTATTGGGTGAGCTGCTGAGAGTCACCAGATTGTAGTGGAATATTTTATTTATTGATTTATTAGTTTGTCATGTACAAGGTAACAGATACAAGTATGAACATGGACATGAACAATGGAGCTGAGTACAAATAAATGGGAACAGTTAGGACAGGGATGTAGGAACACTGGTGCACTTATGCACACCCCCTTTACGGATCTCTTAGGAATGGGGTGAGGTCCACGGTAAACAGTTTAAGGTTGAAGCTGTGAGGGTTTGAGGATGTAACAACGGAGTCAGGTAGAGCATTCAAGGTGCTGACCACTCTATTGCTGAAGTTGTATTTTCTGCAATTGAGTTTGGAGCAGTTTACCTTTGTGAGTTTGTATCTATTGTTTGCCCGTGTATTATTGTGGTTTATTAATATTAATACAATCAGTCAGGCAGTGTCAAGGAGAGTTTCTACACCATTTGTTTAGTCATTTAAGAAGTTTGATTCACATTTGATTCACTGAGACTTTTATAACCTGTAAAAACCTATTTTAGCCTAGCTAACAGAAAGGTGTTAACTTGAGGTTCCAGAAACCAGATTTAGAAACATCTAAATGGAGAGATTTGCTGTGCTGTTAATATACACCCCTCTTTCATTACGTTCGATGTCAGGAACCACCATATTCTGTGGAATGCTTTAAGCTGTGTGAAACTGATAAGAATTACACATTCTGCTAAAATACACAGCCAAAGATTGGAAAGTAGAATTGCAATGCATTTAAATACCATTATCAACTGATGCTAAATATGTGGATGTCTCCAACAGGTCTATGAATGCTTTGAAAATGATTTGGAGGGGCTCCAAATGGTCCACATTTATAATGCAGTACTTCTGTGCTATTCATTAGAACAGACTTTATGAGTTTGAAAAACGTTCCCGAAAAAAAATTATCTATGAGGTTGCTAAGAGTGGAAAATGACTTGATGGCACCTAATTAATCTGAAAAAAGTGTTGGCTGCTTTGAGCAGCTGGTATGTTAAAATTAAAGTGATTTTTAAAGTAGCCACCACTTTTGTTCTAGATTTATATAGGAACCTGGAAAAAAGATGAAATTCATTGGAAAAAGTAGTGTCAATGCTTGTGCTCTAACAAGGTCCAAGTCAAAAATTCCAAGTTATTTTTATGTATGTGCACCAACAAATCATATGCAAAAGGGGGCGGATGAAAAGGTTGTAAAATGTTGAAAAACCTGCAGTGTGGGATTTCTGTGACATGAAATAATTCATAGGTCCAAAACCAGAAGCAATAAAAGGAGATATAATAAAAGTTTTTTTTGCCAAATGTTTTGGGCTTTGCTAAATGTTTGGATTACTGGTAGTCCTCGCTTAACATTTACAACAGCATTGAAAAAATATTTATGACCAGTCCCTGCACTTATGGTCATCATAGTATCCCCATATTATGTGATCAAGATTCAAATGTCTTGTCCTCCCTTTAATTTTTTCTTTTTGTCTTATTAGTTTTTTTGAAATGTAATAAAGTTACATTTAAGAGATTCAGGTGCTTCACAACCAGGAGGCATTTATGCACCCCATAGTGTATTACAGTGCCCCATGGTCATATAATGACCATAAAGAGCTGTGGTGGCATAGTGGTTAGATTGCAGTATTGCAGGCTATTTCTGCTACAGCAGTTCAATCCTGATAGGCTCAAGGCTGACTCAGCCTTCCATCCTTCCAAGGTTGGTAAAATGAGGACCCAGATTGTTGGGGGGATTTGCTGATTCCGTAAACACATTAGAGAGGGCTGTAAAGCACTTTGAAACGGTATATATGCATAAGCGTTATTGCTATTGCTATAATCACCATTTTCACACTCCAACAGAGTACGCTGGCAGTAAAATCACAAGGCATGGTCATATGATGTCTTGTTTAACGATCAGGGGTGACTTGCTTAATGACCACTGTGGGATTGAGGTCATGGTCATGTGATGCCTCACTTAACAACTATATAAATTAGCAACAGAGTAGCCACTTAAACAAAGACTCCCTGTATTCAAAGTAATGACACTTGTTAGAAATGTAAGCAGGGCTTGCCAGACAGACTTTGATGGAATGTAGTAGACTGGATTCCAAGGAGAAAGAAGATACATTCCAGAGACAGCTCAGACCAGATAGGTTGTGTGGGAAAGAAAAGAAGGTGAGGGCAGCCTCTCCCCAATAGTTCTCAGAATATATGGTAGATAGAGATGGCAGAGTACTTCGCTTTGGAAAGATTCTGTCTATAGGATTTGGAACAAAAAGGAACTCACTTTGAAAGAAACACTGCATGTCTTCTTGGTTTGGGGGTCTGACACAGGCTAACTCTTACATGTTTGGCCAAGGAAAGGTGGCTTCCCTTGCCACACCATCAATATACATCTCTGCAAGGGAGAAAGCCATGTGCCAGATCATGTACAGAAAAGAAGAAGAAACAGAAAATCTGATTGTTATAAAACTTCAGGAAGACAAACTGGAAAATGGATAATTATTCCCCATAGCCTCTGATTAAAGTTTGGAACCTACAAGAAATGGTTAAAAATCCAGAAAGGAAACAGGGGAATTTGTTTGCTTCAGAAACTTTTTATGGAGATAAATGTATAGCCAGGACCTATATCAAAATTGTTGCTGTTGCTGCTCTTGGTTAAGTCCATTGTCTCTAGGAAATTGGGTATGAATTCAGCTCCCCCCCTCTCACTTTTCATGCTGAGCATGAGGATATAATATCGTCCTTAATCTATTCTCATAATTTATAATATGAATGGGAATCTTGGCAAGTCTCCTCTCTGAGATCAAGAAAAGTGTAGCAGACCAGTACCATTGTGTGATTTGCGCAAGCCCTCGTCTTTTATTTTGGAATTGTTATTTTCAATTCATTTGAAAACAACTATTTTACCATGAATTGGAGAGCTCTGTAATTTATCTTCAGCATAGACCCAATACAATCTGAGCAAAGAAACCTTTCTTTTACACACTTTTTATCTTGAATTATGCACTGATTCTTTCTTCTTGAATTAGTCAAGAAGCCAAATATGAAATATTTCATTATAATTAATAAGTATAATATAGTAGTAATTTCAAACCTTGCATATTAATCACAGGGGTTGGAGACCGGTCATACAAGATACCTACTTCATAGGTCCAAAACCAGAAGCAATAAAAGGAGATATAATAAAAGTTTTTTTTGCCAAATGTTTTGGGCTTTGCTAAATGTTTGGATTACTGGTAGTCCTCGCTTAACATTTACAACAGCATTGAAAAAATATTTATGACCAGTCCCTGCACTTATGGTCATCATAGTATCCCCATATTATGTGATCAAGATTCAAATGTCTTGTCCTCCCTTTAATTTTTTCTTTTTGTCTTATTAGTTTTTTTGAAATGTAATAAAGTTACATTTAAGAGATTCAGGTGCTTCACAACCAGGAGGCATTTATGCACCCCATAGTGTATTACAGTGCCCCACTAATTCTTTCTTCTTGAATTAGTCAAGAAGCCAAATATGAAATATTTCATTATAATTAATAAGTATAATATAGTAGTAATTTCAAACCTTGCATATTAATCACAGGGGTTGGAGACCGGTCATACAAGATACCTACTCCACAGATGTACATCTTGCATTACAAAGTTTTTGATCCTTCTCAAATTTAGGTCAATAAACTATTAGAGATAATTCTGTTTATTAGACCTCACCATATGACAGTGTGGGCATTTTAATTATTGTTTCTCTATTTCTTATATCTGAGAGGCATGTTTGTTGGGATGATGGTATCATCTTTAAACAGTCTCCGAATGCTACATGAAACAGCTGCACTGCAGAAAATAGCTTACTGAGCCAGTAGCAAGAAAGGATGCTCAACAGAACCAAGCCACCACCCTACAAGACACTTTTATGACAAGTGGCCACTTGCAATGAGTATGAACACTCTCTCCTCCTTATAGAAGAGGATGAGAGAGAATAAACTCAAGATTTTCTGACACTTCCTTTGAGGACTGAGAACTACTCTTGATCAGAGGTGGTATTCAGCAGGTTCTGACCAGTTCTGAAGAACCGGTAGTGGAAATTTTGAGTAGTTCAGAGAACCAGTAAATACTACCTCTGACTGGCCCCGCCCCCATCTATTCTCTGCCTCCTGAGTCTCAGCTGATCGGGAGGGAATGTGGCAGTATCCTTCCCCTAGAGTGGGGAGGGAATGGAGATTTTACAGTATCACCAAGCCACGCCAATCGAACCGGGAGTAACAAATTTTGAATCCCACCACTGCTCTTGATAGGCAAAACCTCCATAATAGATAATATAGTTGCTCCATAATAGATGCAGTAAGATAGTTGCTACCAGGCATTTTCCTCCAGTCACCAAGATTTACTTGGTTTGCCAGAAAGTCAGGCAATGGCTCTATCTCTTCCTTCTCTCCATATGGGGTCCAGAGTAATATTTTCAAATTATAGAGGACAGTTGAAAGGTTCCTGCCTGATACGTTTGAGACTGAAAAGGGAGCAACCATTTCATATATGTTCTCCATGTTGCTTATAGGATGAATGGATGGATGTGTGCGCGCACACACATATATAAAGCGAGAGAGGGAGACACAGAGGACAGACCAAGCCTGGGAACTTAATTTTTGTATGCATCTTTATAAAAGCTTCTCCAGACGTCTGTCAGTGGAATGAAAGGTTGGGCTCGGTTGTATAAAATAGATTAACACCTTAGTATAGTATAAGTTTCTTTGCCAAGCTACTAGCCTTTTGTAACTATGCAGCTCCCCCACTGCAGACATCTGTAGTGGTGTGACCAGAAATTCACACATTTCCAAATATTCAGAGTTCAAAATGGTTTAGGGATCTCAGCTGTAGCCTCATGGAAGAAAAAGTTCACCTAATGGATTTTTGTTATCGTGGTCTAACTACATCTGCTATCTAAATAAATAGCTTTGAAAACAATGTGTGATTCTACATTCCTTTAACTAAGGAATGCTTTAATTGAACATATGTTACATTTCACATTCCAAAAGAAAAGTGGCTGAGTATCTTTACATTTTTTTGCTGGCGCCCAAAAAAACATTGCAGCGTATAAAAACATGTGCACCTGGCTGGGAATTTAGCTTTCATGATATGCTAAAGTGATTTGCTTGAACACCATTCAGAGGTCTTGTGGGATGCATGTTGTGTCACAGTAATTTATAGCTCCTTTATTAACAGAAAAAGGTGCAAATGAAAAATTTAAAAAATGTTACATGTTACTGAGCACAACAGCAATTTAACCTGATGCCTCAAATGTCAAGCTGAAGTAGAGAAATAAAAATTATTGACAAGAGAAATATGTTCCACATAGTAATAAATAGCTAGAAAATATTTGATAAATGTTTAGAAGTTAAGAGCTGAATGAATGAACAAACAAATGAAGGGATAAAGGGATTTTGGAAAATCTGATTTCACCAACATCGTGTGTGCGTGTGCATGTGTGTGGTTGGAAAGTATTTTTCAAACGGTGTAAAAGCTAATAACTAGTAATCAAAATGCTTTACCTATGCCTTGACAAATTTCTAAAAGAACTCAAGAGTTTTGTAAATTAAACAAAATTCATTGGCATTTGAGAGATCTCCCCTTTTCTAGTTTTCCATGCCTACCCTTTTTTTACTTACAGTATTCCTGAAAAATGTTCCATGCATAATATACTTATATACCCCATAATATACGTATATACTGCATAAGACCCTGGGTGAGTGAAAGAGGGTGGAAGAATAGCTGTTAAGAATCTGAAAAGTTTTCACATCATGGAAAAGCCTTCCTTCTACAATGTAGTGCTAAAAGTGAAAAAGTATCTGATCAAAGATAGACTGAACCACAGCATATTGTTCCAAAATGTTCAGTATTAACATCAATTAAAATAAGGTATCAGTTTAAAGACCGGATTCTCAGTATTAGGATGAAGCTAATCATTATGTTGGTGAATGTGTAGCTATGCTTGTGTATTGTGCATTTATTTTCCTGAACAAATTAATTCTGATTCAGAAATCAACCTCAGAAAACACACGCAAAACAAGAACACCTACAGCTTATTCCAAGTTAATTAAGCTGTAGATATTAATGAAAATAACATCAAACTATAAGCAGCAGAAGATGGGATGTGAAGACAAACATCTCATTTTAGGCAGTTCTCCACAGCTGTCACAACTTCTTGCAAAATGTTATCTCGATTCTCCCTCGTAATCTAAAACAGAATTCACATAAAATATGGATTAATATTAGTTTTCATTTATTTAAAGTAACCAAAATGCATGTCTTAGAAAGTGGAAATATTTATGAAGACTTTTTATGTGTCCCTAATTTTTATGTCCCTAATCCCTAAGAACAAACTAAGAATTGTCCATTTATCAGCTAGTTGTTATTGTTTTTAATTATAATACAGGGGTATCAAACTCAAGGTGCTTAAATCTGGCCCGCAGATCCAGCCTGGAAATAGGAAAGGATCAGCCTGTGATGTCTCTGGCAGCCAAAACCGGGACACGCACACGCACACGCAAACCTCCCATTCCCCGTTTTTGGCCAGCAGAGTGCTGCAGGAGGCCATCCAGGGAGAAAACAGGGAACGCAGGGGCTATGCCTGCCCCCACCCAATGCCCTGTAGGAGGCAGACGTCCTGTCTCCTTCCTCCCCAACTTTCTGGCTGGCCCACAAAGAACTACAATGCTGATCTGGCCCCTCGAAGAAATCCAGTTTGACACCCCTGCTATAATATATAAGAATTCCTTTATTACCATATTAGGAGGGAATAGTCCTTTGGATTCTGACTTTTCCCTAAGGTTATTTGCTTTCTACTGATAAATAACCCATGCAGATTAATTAGGTTGTGGTTAGTACTGCAGATGTAAAAAATATACAAACATGCAGGGGAATAGATTGCATATCACCAGTAAAAAGTATACAAGATTTATACACAGGATGTCATGTTTTTAGTATAAATGTAGGGCTCTGAAAAGAACTTGTCCCCCCAAAAAAATATTTCCAAAGGGTGAAACAATTTATAGCCCATATATTTACACTGAAAGTAATAAGTGCCAGTATTCCAAGAATGCTGGAGCTAAATTAGCAGGAGTTAAATTAGACAAACGGGGGAGGAAACATCAGGATGGGAAACAGAATCAGCCCATGGACTCACTGAGGGTGTTGTTTTTCTGGGGTATCTAAAAACGAGAAGGAATAAGGTTGGGGGGAGGGGGAAGAAACAGGACTATAAATCTATAGTCCTTGAAGCTTGTATAAAAATAAATTGACCTAAATGAATGAACAACATCTTGGGCATTTTCCTGCATTGATTTTATGTCTGGTACTTCTGGTTTGATGAGATTTCATTTAAAAGAATGCGACATTTTGTTCTAGGCACTAGAAACAAAGAAACATGAGACTGACTTAAGTTGACCAAGAGTGAAAATATATATATTGCAATTGTGCTGATAAATAAAAATGGAAGACTAGTATAGATCTATTTCAAGCTATTTAGCTCTCATCAGCTAGCCGTACCCTTACTGGGAATCGAACCTGGGCTGTATTACATATTAGGCAGTTATATTAGCCACTAAGCCACAATTGCAACATAATTGTAACAAGGCAACATTAAAAAAAAATGGCTTTCTGCCTGGGTGGCTCCCAAAGTGAGCCGATAGATAGAAAAGGAAAGCAGTATGCTCCCTCCCATATTTGGGCAGAACCAGGGGTTGTGACACAATACATACATACATACATACATGCATGCATGCATGCATGCATGCATGCATACATACATACATATTTATAAAATATAATATTATATATGTGTATAAAATATATAATAATATATAATAACAAGTCATAAAATAGAACATGCCATCCAAACCTAAAAACTTCAACTCCTAAGGTCTGGTGCTGGCTCCCAATAGCATTTCCCCTACCCCCATCCCCTGGGAAATTTTTTAAGAGGGAAAAAAAGTATATTCTTTATTAGGACTATTTCAAAAAAATGATTTGTAGTGAGCACCTTGAAAAGCAAAGTCCCAGCACCCTTCTGCATGATCCTGAATAGAAGTATCACTATGAAAATAAAGTTAAATGCTCAACTGAAGACTTGAGCCTGGGGAATAAAAGGTGTCCTTACTTTAAAGAACAGCAGGGAGGCACTATGATCCTGTTCAGCGTAAGGCTTGTCTTTTGAACCATTTTAAAAGCACAGGCAGGCCTATTCATTACACTTTTATCTTTTCCTCCAATAGAGGAGGTTTCAATAACCAGCACTCCAGTGGTGCAGGCGGCAGATTCTCCAGGGCACACATGGAGTCATATGCAAGCTTTGTCAATAATTCATTACCTACGGAACTTACCGGTAGTTAAAAGTTCACGAGAATAAGCAATGTTACTAAATATTAAATTCACTACCTTTACCTCAGATTCCATTGAGATAAATGTGGGGCAAGAGAACTTGATTTCTGCCAAAGTTGCTGGAATGGCCACTGAAGTTGTGTTTTGCATTTTCCAGATACTTGGAATCTAACCATATGGAAGCTGAATTTCCAGGGTTTAGTATTAATATTGCAATAACAAATATAATACAAGGACATATTCATAAATGAAACTCATTAATATTAGGCTGTATCACTACTACTGGCAAGAATATTAGTGATAATGGAATGCTTTGTTTCTTTTGACCCCCGGAATAAGCATTTGGCCTTAATTTTGGAGATGTCTTAACCTCGGCCCGCAGATCAGCTGATCCAGAGAGGGCCAGAAGTTCTGTTTCTGTTTCCGGCACACTCTTGCCAGTCCTAGTGCCACTGGGCTGCTGCTCTTTTTGCATCTGCCACTAAGAGAAGGGGCGTGGTACCTAGGGTTTGTGGGAGCAGCCTCCGCAAGGCCATTCCGCGTGCATGTGAGGCGCGTGGGGCATGTTCCCCCTTCCCTCCACAGGAAATGGTGGGGACTGGCTGCGTATGCATTTAAATATTTTTGGGGAGGGCTTATTTTGGGGGGAGGGCTTATTTTAGTGTATGCGCTCAAAAGCCCGATTGGGGAGGTCTTATTTTCACGGAAATAGTATTTTTTTCTAAAACGTCTCCATATTCTCTGCAATGCATTTGTGTTCCCTCTCCTGAGCTGGTCACAATGCACATTAGGAAAGTCCCTTGACTACTGCTGTTTATCTGCGAAATTTCTGAAGTCACATTTTACAGTACCACATTTAGAAGCATCTCAGAGAAAGTTGTGTTTAGACTTTTGAAAATGGATTGGTATATAAGCTCAATGAATGAATCTATTTGCAGCCATTTAAAATGAATACTTTGACTTCTTTATACGTTCTATGTAGAGGGGAGATGAACAGGATGCACTTTAAATTTCGTATCTAAGGACGGGTGCAGCTGAAGCCCAGGCATGAGAGCTGAAAGAAATCTACCACAGAATCAACTTTATTTCCAGTAGAAGCAAGCACCTGTTTTTTCAAAGGGAATTGTTCCAAACAAATGTTAAATAAGATGTCAGACCATTGCATGCCAATAAAAACAGACTTTCTCAGTGTATCTGTCTGTGACTTACACTGAAGACTTTCACCTCTTTTCTATTTCTGATCTCTTCCACAAGTCTCAAAGGCTTTCCTTTAGGCACTGGGATTGTTCCAAGTATCACAGTCCCGGATCCATTCAAAATTTGTTGGACAGCTTGAATAAATGTCTGGCTGAAGAGCTCCATTTTACCAATCTCATCAATTATGCATACCTTTTTCACTGAACTGCTGTCAAAATCAGTCTATGAGAAAAACATGTATGGTATAAAAACACTTAGTGGCAAAATGCAAAGTATTTTTACATGACTTAAATCACAATTTATATGAGGGATACATTATCTGATGCCTCTTGTTCTTAGGGCTCCAGCTCAGAGGCAGCAGGACAAAAGAAATTTTCAGTGAGAGCTGCAAGACAAAATATACTCTGACCTTCAGAGAAAAAATTCAAGATAACTGTTTCTTACAAAAATATTTTACACGATAGTCATACATTGTGAAAGACCATCAGTCCAATAAAAGGGCAGTTTAATGACCAAGTTCCATATTCAAAATTGGCTCTGTGTCTAATGTGGTGTATGACGGACTTGTACCTTACAGTACCACATTCCCTGCAGTTCCACTTATTATGCACATTGGTAAGGAATGTTTGGAGTGTCTGTTCTTCAACATCTGAAGATCACAGATTCCCCACTCCGATCTCTGTAACTATTTTTTTTAAAAAACAAAACATGAAAACAGAGAATCTTAGGATTGGAAGGTACCTCAATTATCTTCTAGTTCAACCCCTGCTCAAGGAGACCTTATAACATCTCAGTCTAATGGTTGTCCAGTCTATTTTTGAAAACTTCCAATGATGGAGCTCTCACAATTTCATAGGCAAGCTATTCCATTAATTGTTCTGTCAGAAAAAGTCTCCTTATTTCCAGGTTGGATCTCTCTTTAACAAGCTACTATCCATTGCTTCTTGTCCTGCCCCACTGTGCTTTGGAGAATATGTTGTTCCACTCTTCTCTATAACAGTCCCTCAAGTACTGGAAGACAGTTATCATGCCCCCCTCGATCCTTTCAGGCAAAAGCTAATGGAAAATCAATTGGTTTTATGTCTTGCTGAATTCCCCCCCACCCTCTATATGGAAAGCTAAAATTAATGAAGGAATACAAGAACTGTTGCCACAATTGATAAAAGATAAGAAAAGAGAAAGTAAACAAGATAGGCCTGAAAAGGGAAAAAGCATAAGAAAAAGGCACAAAATAATCTGGCTTTAATTCTGGTATAAGCTGAGGAAATGTTACCAGTCTGTTATTTTTCTCTAAAACAATAGAGTTCCAGTAGTTCCTATGGTGTCTCTTTCTTGAACTGACCTGCTTTGAAGGTCTGACATTTTAAGACAAATCTACCTCATTCTGAGTGACTTCATGAACATAACCGTGTGTTTTTCTTTGCAACAAGACAGAAGAAGTTCATCACTGCCGCTTTCTGGGACTTTTTTCAACTTCTCCATTTAGGTCATTTCTACCCACTCAAATATGAACAAAAACCATTGCTGTTTTGCTTTTCAAAAACAGCCAAAATTATCAAAGTGTTGCTACCAAGTTGGATTCAAATACTTAGTTATTATCAAGAGATATTTCTATATATTTGAGATTCAAATAATTTGGAAGTAGTCTGAGTTACCTTTAAAGTATTTATCTATGACAAGACAGTAAACTATATAGCTGAAGTACTATTTGCATCAATATGTGTAAATCTACACTGGAAACAACAGCTGCTAAAGGCCAGCCAAGGGCCATATTGGCACTTATTTTCTGTAATGTATCTTACTTACGAGACCACCTTGCTATGTCTCTTGCATTACCATGAGAGAAATAAACATGTTCATTTACAAGTCTTTAAATTCATGATTGCAAAATTCAGTTAATAAACATCTGCAAACGTGTGAAATGAAAACCTCCAAGAATAAGCGTGATCACACTATTTTGAGGCCCACCACTTTTACATGCAAATTTAAAGCCCCATAAAATATAGCCTATGCATTTTCATGAAAATGCGTACATTATTCAAGAAAACATACAGTTCTACTATGTAACTTACGTTTCTCAACAAAGGAAGAGCCAACTGTTCAAATGAAGCTAGATCTACAACATATTGGCCAACTCGATATTCATGCCTTGCTGCTGAATGACCAGAGCTATATAAAGAAAATACATACAGCCAAATATTTATCTGACCAAGTATAGAGAATCAAAACTATGAGCAAATCAAAAACCTTGTATGTTTCAAAACACAGTAATGTTCTTCAGGGGAAAAATAGACAATAAAACAATATGGGATATATTTATACATATGGTTTTAATTATGTTAGTATTAGAGCTTCCAATCTCGTTGCCATGCCCCTTCTCCTTCTAATGTTTCCTCACCTTTCTTAAGTGAAATGACTGCTAACATCCCAATCTATGTAATCAAATATAAAAACAGAGCCATAAAATGCAGTTGGAAGGAGCAAATAGTATTCAGAGACATAATAGCCTTGAGGTGATAGTTCAGAGTGAGGACTGCCTACTGTCCTTACAAATGTTCTAAAAAATATAACATAATTTTTAATTGAGACTATTTTGCTGATTTCTTCAGCAATTATCACTGCACATTATTATGGGGTGGTGCTAAGTATGTCCCTCCTACATATCGCAAAAGTTTACACAGTATTCAGTTATGGGCTAATTTCTTACCCATAAATTAAGACCAACTTTAGTATTACCCTAATAGTCACCAAATGATAATTTTACAATCTTATCTGCCGTTTCAGAAATTTCTGCTCTTCATATTTGTGAACCACAATGGCCTTACATAACCATTCCACTGAGGATTTTTAAAAAAAAATAGTGCCAGAAAATATATTTTAGAAGTTCATTACCCAACTCTAGATAAAATTCCTCTTTTTCCATTCAGAGTGACAACATCAAACCCTGTCCTCCGGCCACTTTCTCTCACTTCCTCTGTGTAAAATCCATCAATGGGGAAACCGGATGATTTCAAAATTTCAGCAGCTTTCCGAATCAATGTTGTTTTTCCAATTCCTACAGCAAAAAGCATTTTGTTAAGCCTCTCTTTCAATTGTATGTATATAAAACAAAGCAAATATTATTTTAGGACTATTTGACTCCTTGTTTTTACCTGACCAATTCAGCGTGGTCATTCATACTGTAAATCTTTTGCTCTCCTAATGCCACAAAATATGAACCCCATTCACATAACATAATTAAATGTGTTGGGGGCAAAATGCCATGTGAACAGGAAAACTGATTAATTCTAAGATGGTTGATTATAGCCCTTAAGAACTTTGAACTATTGTCCAAACAGCTTATTGCGGTAGTTAATCAATCTTTTCCCCATCTGAAGTACAAACACTACAAAAATTGGATGTCTACAAACATCCCTTATCTGGAGTTAGTTTGGTTTTTACTTCCCCACCCAGGTTTACTATCTGTGAATGTGTGTGTGAAAAACAGCAGGGACATATGGAGATGTCACTGCAATTTCTCTGGCAAAAAAACAAGGAACTGGGAAAGGAAATGAAAGCCACCAACTAGAAAGAGACAACATTGCTGAGTTATTTCAATTTATGTGCTTTCAGTCCATGGAGGCGAGTCATTTATTAGAGAAAGGGATCAGATATATCATACAAAGGCTGTCATAGAGTAGAAGGTCCAACTAGCTTTTTCCTCTCAAAATGTTCTATAATTCTAAAGTCTCTCCACTAATTTTTCGTAGCTGGTACTAATTAGGACTACCAGATCTGCTCTGCAAAACTCCAGAAGACCAGTTGATTGCAGCGAAGAACTGTTTTCTGTATCTTTTTGTTGACATCTTGCAGGTCAGATCTGAAACCCTAGTACTTATTGCCTGATTGGTCCACAAAAATATTGTCATGGGCCTTGTTCTTCATTACCTCTAAATCGCTCTCCAAAATACTCCTTTTTAAGGGAAATTTAAGAGCCTTCTAGTTCCTTTATCTTAATCCCTTACTCTATTCAGAAAGCCAGGCTTGATTCTTTATCAGCCAGAGTGTACCAGACAATACCAGGCAGCAGGCTTAAAAAGAACCTCAGCCTCCAGTTACTTGTCCATGTAGGAATGTGAAATGGGAGTAAGCTCTCCCCACGCATCAATTCAAGAGAAAAGCACTTTTCCTCTGCAACTGTATTGAGAACAGCAGTTGTGTTTGCTGCCAGCAAATGCCATTCTCACCCCTTCTTTTATAATTAATTGTATTAATCATATCATTTCCCTGCTTATTCAGATATGTCCTGCTTTATTCCGTTCCTGATTGAGTTTTATCTTATCTTTTTTCCAGGACCTCAAAGCAAGGATATACATAAAGGGACCCTCCTTCTATTTCATTGGTACATAACCTTGCGAAATGGGTGGTGGGGGAAGAACAGCTAGCCCATCTTCCCTAGTGAAGCTAGATTTGAATACTCAAATCAACCCTAGTCCAACACTTTAACTCCTATGTCAAAATATACCTGTTCCACATTACAAGATACTCAAAGTAAGGACTTGTACATGAATAAATAAACACACAAGATAGTGGCAGATCCTATATTACTGGAAGGGAGGGGAGCATTCCTCCTTTGCATCAATGAAGGGTGTGTTGTTAATACTGGGAATTGGAGACTCATTTTCACACTTGAGCCTCTCTTCAAGCAGTGAACTGAGTTACAGAATACTGAAGAGAAATCCACTGCCATTTTGGCCAGGCATTCCCATGGATCAATTTCTGAAGGCCAGCCACAGAAATACAACATCTTCCAGAGATTTTTGCAGCTGCTATCTCTGTCAAGATCTTCTCCAGATGGAATTAAGAAGGGATTTCATCTTAACTCCCACTTCCTGCAGAACACTACCCAATAAAAGCCTATTCTTATTAATATAATATCCACTCCATCCGAAGTCTGTCATTCTGTATAATCTTATCAATATATAGTGCTTCTATAGTGTACAGTCGTTGCACTGTGGATGAATATTAACAGATTAAGAGTTGGAATGGACCTTAATGGTCATCTAGTCCAATCCCCCCCCTCCCCAGGAGACCCTACACCATTTCTGACAAATGGAAGTCCAATCTCTTCTTGAAAATCCACTTGAAGACTTTCAGGAATCTATTCCAGGGACAAGTGATCTGCAAGTAACTAATAAGAAATGGCGCTGTGGGTCCGCCATGTATATCTCATTCACTCCAAAAATAAGCTCCACCGTGTTTCCGTGGGGAGGGGGGGCATAAATTGGGCGCAACACCGCAGTCTGATCTACAAAAGGAGGTAGGGATTGATGCGGCTCCCAATCGCATCGGGAGCAAAAGGACAAACTGATCGTCCGATGCACATTAACTCGGAAGAAAACCTCTCCTTCTCTCCACCCACCCATAGCCGGAAATAAGGCGTTGCGAAAGCGAATCTGCAAGCGTGTCTTGCCGGCTCTTCTCCGGGACCCCCGACTTGCTTTTGCACGAGTCCTAGTTGGCCGCGTGCCGAAGCAAAACCTGGCGGCCCCGGAAAGGCCTCTCGTTCTCTTCCAGCTCTTCCCCGCTAGTTCTTCCCCGCTATGGGCCGTGTGCTTGCCCTCTATTTCCTGCGTTGCCGTGGGGGGGGGGGGGAGAAAGGAGTTACCTGGGGGTCCCGTGAGAAAAACGTGCGTGGCCATGTTGGCCTGACGGTCCGAGAGAAAGAGAGCCCTGCGCGGGAGGGGGAGAAGATAGTGGCCCTGGCCTTTTTTCCCCCTTTTCTTTTCCTTCAGCCGCTTGGGGGCGGAGAAGAAAAACAGTGGTGCAGCTGCTGTAGCCTTTTCTGCTTTTTTCTTTTGCAATCTTTCTCCGTTTCCCGAGAGCAGTTTTTCAGAGATTTTGGAGCAGAGGTCTCCGACCTTGGCAACTTTAAAACTTGTAGACTTCAACTCCCAGAATTCCTCAGTCAGCTTTGCTACCTGAGGAATTCTGGGAATTGAAGTCCACAAGTCTTAAAGTTGCCAAGGTCGGAGACCCCTGATCTGGAGGATGGAGGGAGTAAATTATGTTGGGACTGACTTCAAAGTCAAGGCAGTGCTGCTCCGGATGTAATACTGGTAGTCCTCGACTTACAACAGTTCATTTAGTGGCCGTTCATAGTTACAACGGCACTGAAAAAAATGACTTCGGACCATCTTTTACACTTATGACCATTTCAGCATTCCCCAGGGTCAGGTGATCTAAATTCGTACACTTGGCAACTGGCATGTATTTATGATGGTTGCAGCATCCTGGGGTCATGTGACTTCCTTTTGCAGCCTTCTGACAAGGTAAAGTCATTGGGGAAGTCAGAATCACTTCACAACCCCGTTACTGACTAAACACCTGCAGTGATTAACTTAATAACTTGGCAAAAAAGGAGTAAAATAGAGCAAAATTCACTTAATAAATGTCTCACTTAGGAACATTAATGTTGGGCTCAATTGTGGTCATAAGTTGAGGACTACCTGTAATTGCAATGTGTGGATAGTGAAGCCTCCCGCCAGTTTCTCCTTGAGGGAAAATCCTCCAGTGCTGCCACGTTGTGGGGAGGAGTGTTTCCCCCTCCTTTCTTTTGATAATCAGGAACTTCCCTTGATGTCAGTCATATGTGTACCCAGCTAAAGTGTAATGTAGTCCAGCCTTTTTTATTATCTCTTTGGTAGGGCCCTTTTAGATGATTTTTTTTTTACCCAGGGCACTTGAAATGGCAATAGGTAGCTTTGTTACCTTACTTAAAACATCAGATTTATTTTGCTCTTTTTTTTGACGCAATGTTTCTGATTGTGGTATGTTGTACCAAATGCATTTTATCTGAATTGAAGAGCAATTCTGGACATTGGAAATAAAACAGCAGTGGTGTCCAAGTGGGGATCAGTGGAAAAATATGGAACTGATTACAAAAACAAGGGAAAGAAAAATATTGTCTTGGGTGGACAGTGTAATAATGTACCAAACAATTCTCTTTGAATAGAGAAAGACAAAATAAGCCTTCCTAGATGCATTCAAGTAATTTCCCTGGCAAGAATATAGAAATGAGTTCTTACTGCTTTTTGTTTGCTACAGGAGTCCTTGTTTGGTGACCACAGTGGAAACCAGTGATTTGGTCTTTAAGTGAAGTGGTTGCTAAATGGAACCAAAAGTGCCATTATAATCTTAACTTCAGTTTTCATTTGCTTTACACACCTGCAAAGGTTGAAAATGCAAGGATTGCTTACTTTTTCATCACCATCCTTGTTTAGCAACCGTCTCATTTAGCAAACCATCAAAGCTGTGAATGATTGCTAAACGAGACAGTTGCTAAACAAGGACTATCTATACTTTTTCCCCATTTCTCAATGTAGCCAATATCTCTGGCATTCTCTGGTAATCTGTCATTCAAATAAAAATCTATCTTGACTGCCTTTCTTTGCAAATCCAGGGAGGATCAGACAGGTGCTATCATCTACAGTAGCAGTCCTCTAATATTTTGGTTCCAAACCCCCAATACATTTTTAAAAAAGATTGAAGATCCCAAAGAGCTTTGACTTAGGGAATTATGTCTACCAATATTTACTCTATTAGAAATTAATACTGAGAGATTTTAAAATATTCGATTTAAAGAACTCCTTGAATGTATTTTGGAATCCCCAGACCACACTTTCAGAACTGCTGATCTACAGAACAAAGAATGTTGATTCGAATAGTCAAAACAAGTATTCCTTACAACACTCCTCCCCATTTTATTCAGGAGACTTACCTGAATTCATGATAAATAGATAATGAATATTGATACTTTCAGATGTACTAACAATGAAGTACAGAAATAAATATTGATGTGACCATTATTCATGTTTTAATTGATTAAAAAGGATTTGAAGTTAATCAGCAGCAGAAATAATAGAGGCAGGGCCCTGCAGACCTTCAGACTTGAAGAGAAAGTGATGATTTAGAGCATGTGAGGATGAGAAATAGTCCCTGTCTGCAACTTCTTAAAGAAGAAGTTCTTAAAGAAGTTGCATCCCTCCCTGGAATTGTATGACTGTATAATCCTGAGAAAAAAACAGATTTGGTTTGAGAAGTTGCAGCCAGCTGCTGCTGTGAATTCTGAACATCATTTTGTCACTGAATCCAAACCACCGTATAGGTATAGCAGTTATGAAGCACTATCTTAAAAGTAGTGAAAAAGCAGTCATTTTCTTCTTGAGAAAATGCCTCTGCCAAAATTATGTTTGCTTGGCTTCTACATGTATCATCTAAATAAATCTTCTTTTCAAACTGTTTTAGTTTTATGCCAGTTCAAATGATAGAAAATTAAAACTCATGATCAATTGAATACGTTTAATTATAATACATGTCAAGCCTAAGATCAGAGGTGACATAGTGAAATCCAATTGAGTTTAATCCTTTATTTATGTACGTCTAATGGACAGAATCTTGCCTCACTAAAACTATAACGCTCAACCCTACTAGATACAGTATATCCTGAGATATTCTAGGCATGACTACTTTGAACCTCTTCCTCTCTCCAATTCCTGACTGTACAGTCTCTTAATCTGAGCCTCTCGGGGGAAATTTTGTCTTGCCAAAACTTTCCCACTGTTCCTGCTGATGCACATTCCATCATAACACAATTATTCTGAATGCAGGTAGTCCTTGCTTAACAACGATTTGTTTAGCCGCCATTTGAAATTACAGCTGCTGAATGATGGGACTTATAATTGGTTCTTGAAGTTCTAGTTGTCACAGGAGCTCTGTGGTCATGTGAACAAAATGTGTTCCCTCCTACATTTTTGACTCTCCCCTCCTGCTGCCCTCCATCAGCCAACTCACCTTTGTCATTTTCACCTGCCACCTCTCCACTGGGGTTATCATCCCAGCTACAGCAAGGAGTGCTATGGAAACATCCCACAGGCCAATGAGTGAGAGCTAGAGGGGCAGGGCCTTCTTTCGTGCTCAGGTCATGTCCTTCCTTTGCAAAACAGCCTGGTTTTCCTTTTATGAAAGAAGGACTCAACTGCACTGGCATGAAAGTAGAATCTGTCAGGTAGTGGTAGATCAGGTACGGAAGCATTTGGCAAGCTGCCATATGGGCAGCGATGGAGGGAAGGTAAGTAGGGACAGTCCTTCCAAGAATGGCTAGGATCTGGTTGTTTTTAAAATAATGGGTCCTTTACATAGGACCCAGTTATAAAAACAGATTAATCACTGGGTGAAGAATGACCGTGAAGCACTCCATATTTAGCATGTGATGTGAATTAGATTGTACTCCAATAACAGCCTGGCTCGTTTCAGTAGTACTCAAACTGATGTTCCCAAGAATTTGGAAAAATGATGAGGATAAAAGATGCTCTATAGAAAAACTGCAGAAGCTTGGGTGCTTTTAAATAGATGGCCCTTTTATACTATTGTTTATGAACCTCGATGGTGCAGTGGATAGACTGCAGTAGTGCAGGCTACTTTGCTGCCTGCCGGCTGCCTGCACTTTGTCAGTTCAAATCTCACCAGGCTCAAGGTTGACTCAGTCTTCCATCCTTCCAAGGTGGGTAAAATAAAGACTCAGGTTGTTGGGGGCAATATGGTGACTCTGTAAGCTGCCTAGAGAGGGCTGTAAAGCACTGTAAAGCGGTATATAAGTCTAAGTGCTATTGCTATTGATTAAATAAATTATGCAGCTATTTTTGTTTTTGTTTTTTTTTTCTCCTTAGCAATTCCTTAGCAGTACAAAAACCAGGAGAAAGATATGGACAAATACCAGAGAGTTGTCATTGGATTCCCCTTAAATCAGCACAATAAGAGTATTTTTCAGAATAACTCATTGTAATTACTAATTGTGCCACAAGGTCTTTTGGGAATAGTTGTCAATTGATTTATAATAGAGATTTTTAAAACTCAAATTAGATTAGTGTAATTTCTTCTTCAGTTGAACATACCATAATTTAATGTGTTTTTTTTTAATTTGAGGAATATCACACCAGCTCATTCTAGCAAACTGTCAAGAAAAAAGAATTTTATACCTTCTATAAGTGTCTTTTAAATTCTGGATGAATTTCTAGATATTTAATTTAAATAAAAGAAATTAGTTAAAGGCCAGTTTCCAGATCAGTGACTTAGAAAAGAGGTCATTTGATACATATTAATGTTAAACTAAGATAGGAAGGAGAGCAGGAAACAATAGTGTTTTGTTCCCTCTGCCTTTAATTGGTTTCAGTCATTAACAATGAAAGAAAAGTTATTATATACAAAAGTTCATGGCCTAGAGATACTCAAAAATGAAGGGCAAAAAGAAGCAATATTTCTAAACCATTTGTTTTATTATATACAGACCTACCTGGAGTTTTTACAGGTCTGAATTTTTAATATTTTCTAAAAGCATTGTGAGGGCTTTTAAAATGAAATAGTATAATGAAATATTAACATCCAATACATTCTCCTTTTTTAAAAGCTTTCCTACCGGTAAGTATATTCTTTCCTTCATACGTGCTCAAATACCATGTATGTTAACTGGAAAAGTCTAGTATGCACAATTCACCTTTGGGAGAGAAAATCAAGAAGGAAGAAAAAATATTTTTTTAAATGGAATTAGTCTTGCTGTAACGATATATGTTATCTCAGAAAGTTATGGTAGAATCGAGACTCAACTGATGCAAACTAGTAAGGATTTGCTGTGAGAAACAATGAAGTTAACTTGAATGTTTAGGATCTGACCCTACAGGATTATAATTGGAAAGAATCTGAAATAGAAGAAACAGACTCTTTGGATGTTAAGTTCTGATTAAGT